AAAAGTCTAATTGTTGATATTAGCTTGTTATGCATATGTATTAAAAATACATTTTGATAGTTCATGTTTTGTAATAATACTATTTTAGTATTATGAGAATGATGATGTGAATTATATGTATTTGAGATGTGAGGGTTGTTACATTTATAATCCAACCCAATCCATTACTTTTTAATTTGGGTTGGTGTGGTTCGAATTGGATGGTTTGAATGTTAAACCAAAAAATTAAATATAGTCAAATCATATTTAGTCCCATATTGTTTCATCTTTTTTGGTGGAGCAAAAACCATCAAGTTTTGTCCCATTAAATTTAAAAATAGTCTCATCTTGTCCCATGTATTTTTTGTCTATGGCATACCAAACATGAGACTATTTTTTTTTTGTCATGTCCCGTCCCATATGGTCTGCATACCAAACGCATCCTTAATCTCTCAACATATGTTTAAAAAGACGTACAAGTTACAATTTCAAACCAAGAATTATCTACTTTATATGCATAAACATAAGTGCAAAGATACATATTACAATAATACCGATGAATTAAAATGGCACCACCAATAAATAAACACGAGTTGGTTTAGAATCTTTTGAATAGCATTTATTCTTTTGGAATAGTGATTATTTTGTCGATTCTATCATAATATGTATTGGAATTACAATATTGTACTAAGCATTTAACCAAATTATTTGCAGTATTGAGCTAGAAGATGACTGTCTATACTTGTTGGTTTTATACATTTCAGTAGACTAGATAGTATGTAGACATTTAATAATAGGCCTCTTAATAGACAATTACTTCGTCCGGTTTGATGGGTTGGTTCGATTTAAGATGGCTCTAACCCATAACCGACCCTACTCTCATCGTTTTGTCTAAGTTTATAAATTAATAAAATCTCTGGTTAGATTGTTCGGTCTAGTTTTTGAGTTGGATTCGGGGGTTGATGGTTTGGTCATTTTCTTGTACAACCTTAAGCGTGAGATTGTAAAAAATACAGAAACGATCAAAGATAAGTTGTAGTGGATAAATGAAGGCTTCTTCAATGTTTGCTTCTTAGGAGAAGGAACGTGTGAAAAAAAAGAGTTAAGATGAGTAACATAAGAAGAGATCTGAACTTTTGATCACCTTTAATCTCCAACTCACCCATGAATCACGCTTGATACAGGGATTGATTTGATGCATCTCCTAATGTGCATCCAAGGGGGATCCCTTCTTGCGTTTCTCATCTTAACTCTCAGTCTCACCGGAACCCAACTTTGCTTCTTAACGTGTATTAAATATATATGAAATAGTTGACATGACCCAAGATTTGAAAGTTGTGCTATACTTCGTTAGAAAACGATTGTGGCAGTTGATTTTTTGGGATTTCCATTAGTTTATAAGATTTCAAATGTTATGACGTTCTGATATTATCTTCTAAATTGATATCTGTAATATTTTTTATTGTTTTATATTTCAAAAATTACGAACGACTCCACAAAGTTTCCGTTTTCACCAAGTAGCCGTGTATAATATATTGTAAATAATGACTTAGTATAATCGTTGACAATTAACCAAATGTGTCACTTGTTAATAAGATATATGTTATAAACAATAATTTACATAAATAGTCCACAACGTATCTAAAACACCTAATTGAGTCCTTAAGAATGATTCTATCTTTAAATGATTGCATATTTAATGGTTATACTGATTGAAGATGGTTAACTGGTGTCCAATTCATATGATAATGATACATATTTATGAAAATAAAAGAATGGTAAATCACATGTGATTTTACATTAACATCACGTACAAAATCATATGTGATTCAAGTGACCTTGCCATGTGGCTATAGGGGCTTCCAAATACTTTTTTGACCGTTAATGTAGCCCGAAATTGACTTGGCTTAGCCAAAAGGCCTCGTCATGTTCATCCTTACTAGCATCCCATATATGTGATTTTATATGTAAAAGCATTCCTTTTATTTTGTACGATTTTCTTATGAACTTACCTTATGTTAACTAACCATTAATTATACTTTAAAAAAAGAAAAAAAAATGTAAATTGGTAATTTGCAAGAATGCACAGAAATAACCATTATATGATTGACGATATTGCCCAAATATAGTCCATCATACTGATTACCATCTTATTTGTTCAATTTGGTTCATTTTTGCCGATCAATATTTTCTTTTGTTTTAATATTTTCAAATGTAACGTGATTGATAACACAGGTAGACCATAGCTAGAGTGGTTAATAATTGTTTGTTACTATATCTTTCATCCTTCACGATTTAATTTGATCACTCTATCTTAATCTTCACTTTCGTCATTTGAATTAATAGCATCCACTTTTATCTCATCTTTTTCTTCATCGCATCTTCATCTTGACTAACCGTCTTTCACCTGAATCCCAAAACATATTTCTAAACAAAATCAAAATCCCCAAAAGGAATTCGCATACAACCCATAAGGATTTGCCCGTTCTTTGTACATAAGCCCTTGTTAGGGTTTTACGTAGTTTTAGCAGTTCTCCCACTTCAAGGATGAATTCTCCCGTTGCTACTTCAGAAAAAGAACCAAGAAGAGAATATAAATCCAAACCCGAGTTTACTCAAAACACTAGATTGATTTTGTTGTTTTTCAGAATGCATTTGAGGCCTCATTACATACTGTTTGGCAATGATTGATAGAATCGCTAGTCTCTAAATGACAATAATTGCTAATATTTGAATTTAAACTCAACGATTACCAAAACTTTCACTTTGCATTGATGAGATTTTACAGAGAAGAAAAAGAAATAACTGCAACAAAATGAAGAGAAACGAAATAGACAAACGAAATCGATAAATGATAGTCCGAGAACTCATGTCGGTGTTTTTGATTCATTAGGGACCATTCAAGTCAGTCAAGCATAAGTTGAGGGACTATCTATGTAAAATAAAATTAAAACTATCAAAAAGATTAGTTGAACGAGAAGGGTAAGATGGTAAATTTACAATTGCAGAAATAGAAGTAGGGCATGCAATCCGACCATTCAAATATTTTAACGAGCAAATATGGTTACAGAAATGGTCAACGCTTGGAGGAGCAGATGGCATTCATCAAATCACCACCTACCAAGTGATGTCAACAGCAAAAACAAAATCGAACCAACTAAAAAAATATTTTTATCTATTCGCTTGTCTTTATCAGCTGTTTGTCTTGGGTGAGAAATTTCATCAAACAGTTGGTCATCACAATCGATGCTGCACGATGACTAAGTATTCATTGGTATCATCAATTCTTGTTTTTTCAATTCTAGTTTCAAGCCAGTGTTGCATAATATCGAACATGAGGAGAGAGAAAAGGTGGGACTTTGTGGGTGTGCCTGATAAGCAAGTAGCCATATTAGTTGTAGGAATTAGTCAACTAGGAGCTATGGCTATTAAAGAAACTTGTGGTTTCGTCCTCACCTTAGGGAGAACCCTATCTTCTCTTTAAGCTTTGATTGGGACCTATCAATGCCAACTGTGGCTATTTGCTGCCCAGGGTTCTTCGTGTAGTCCAGAAGAAGATATTTCTGATTTTGGAGAAATGGGTTCAAGAATTCGGTTATGGATGCTGATTGTTTGCAGTCAAGTTATGGTAATCGCAGGGTTGACGAACCCAAACGATGGTAAGTTTTGCTTTTGTGGTAATCTGTGTACGTCCCTAGAGTTTTTAGGACTTTTAGCCTTTGTGTCTTGTAGATAAACCATGCTATGGCTACTTTTGGCGGTTTCATGAGATTCTCTATTGCTACTTTTAGTATGTTGATATATGCTCCCCTCCGTTCAGAAACTGGATCACCATCAAATGTTCATATAGTTTTATACTTTTCATGAATTAATTATTAACTAATTAAACCCTATATATTGAATGGAATGAGCCCATGAACAACCGACAAGTCCTTAGAGGATGGTTCTATGCAGTTAATGAAACTACACCTCACCGGATGAAACATCAAGCTATTTTACTGATTCACATATGATTTTTGAAAAAATGTGAAATGTATAACTTACTTTAGCAAGTGCAAATTAGTATGATTTCCCAAGAAGGCTTATATGCCATCAAACCACCTTTTAGTATTACCAAGGTGTAGTTAGCCTTAACTTGATAGAGTTAAGTATTACGCCAGATTTTCTCAAATCACAACTCTCAAAGATGGCTTCACATTTGTTTTATTGTCGGATGAAGAAATCATTTATAATATTCAACCTCCAACTATCCAAGATAATTGCAATTCTCAAGTTATTTGTTCCCAATTAATGGCCCCTCATGCGATTGACCTGCATATGTGAAACAAGTTGCTCATACCAACTAGATGTTTTTCGGTTCCAAATGAAAACCAATTGTCAATGTGGGGAGTGACATGTCACAGAATTTGTATTAGCTTGACATGGGGCTAGTTCAACATATGATTAGACCATAAGCATCATCTCTTGATGCAAAGGACTATGCCAAAATTATTCGTGATGAGAAGTTGGAGAAATAGACTCCTCAAAACACCCTTATTAGTTATATGGAACAGTCCACCAACTTGTATGACCTTTTATTCTGGTACATATGTCCCATGAGTAAGAGGTTTAGTTCCATAGGTATCACCAAAAATTTGGTATAAAGCTACGATCTGTAAAAGGATTTGTTTTCTCCTTTTTTTTTTCTCAGAACCTCCCTAACAGTTGAAACAATTTGATACTTATATCAACATTTGTTTCTTTGTTACATTTGACATGATATATTGTGATAAAATGATTTGTGATTGGGTTTTTACTATCAACCTGAAAAATCTTGGTTATTCCTGTAGTTGCTGTCCTAAATGCCATCAAGTCTAGTTGGCAGAATATACCACCTAATTGGAGTGGTCCAGATCCCTGTGGAAGTAATTGGGAAGGAATTAACTGTACAGACTCACATGTAACCTCCTTGTAAGTCGTAGGTGTTTCAATCTTACAGAATTCTAGAAAAATTATCATGTTTGACCCCTTCATTACAGAAATTTGGCGGGCATTGGGGTGAGCACAAATAACATTGGAGACATTCCATCGCTTTCCAAGTTGCAATATTTGTACGTTTTCCATCCAGTTTGTGCTTCTCTATGCTTATTTTCTTTGTTTTTTTCTTCCTATTATTGTCCATCCATTTTCATCGTGCTTATGCAAAGTTCCGAAGTTATTGATCTAGGCTGTAAATCTTGTGCAATATTTGGCACTTCCTTGCCTCATAAATCTAAGCTTCTTCGAAGGCATCTTTTGGCTAGAGGCTCCAACTTGAGCTTATTACAAAAAAAATTCTACAGTAACTTCAACAGGGATCTTCATGTTAGAATATTAATTCTTTTACTTCTCACATGAACTGTTAGTTAAGCATGTCGTGGTGTTCAATCGGAATTTTGAAAAAGTGAAGTCCTACAAAGTGATGGTCATATGAAGTATCCTAGTGGCATTCTGTTTAAGACTGAACTACCGGTGCCAGCTAATGTATCACATAAAACTTGTATAATTTGGACAGTTGAGATGGTGCATTTGTCAGATAGAAAGGAAAGTATTGAGGAGTGCTTGTAATTGCATGCTGGAGGTTTGCTATTAAACCGTATAAGCATTATTCTTATTCTTATATTATGCCTTCCACAAGCGCACACACACACATGTACCTGTTAAAATTTTCGGTAAAGCTCTATCCCTGTAGGGATGCACACATTTAAGCTCTTTGCTAAATTTGGCCTTTTAAATTCCACATGCAAGGAAGTCTAGAAAAAGTCCCATTTCAAAGGTTTGTGTTGTTTCAGATTATCAAATTACTGATTAGTGCAAAAAACTGATGAATTTCTAATTTTGATTTTTGCATATAGAGATCTTTCCAACAACAAAGGGATTACAGCCGTTCTTCCAGAATCCATTCAGGATTTGAAGAACCTGACGACATTGTAAGAAATCTATCTGATTCTTATATGCAGCCACCTAATTTATCTCAACTTTTTCCTCATTGTTCAGAATCCTGTCTGATTTTTCTTAGAATCCTGGTTGGTTGTAATTTTTTTGGTCTGCTTCCTGATTCAATCGGCTCCCTGAAGCAACTAGTCTTTTTGTAAGTATTCTAAATTCTGTGTATTTTGTATACTTTAATAGGGCATTGCTAGCATACATATAACTTAATACCAAGCACTTGGTAGCATATGTTGAAAATGATCATGTCGTAATCTGAGGAACATGTCAAACATTTTTGTTGCTTTTGAAATTAGATGCTCCTGACACAAGTCTGAAAGTATATCAATTCTTCTCTTGTTGAGATTTATTACTTATGTTTTTCCTGTAGTGTTTTAATTATTCTACATTTCAAATGCAATTCCTGATGCTAGCGCTTTTGTTGCAGAGCTCTCAATAATAACAGCTTCATTGGATTTATCCCACCATCCATTGGTAATTTAACTAATCTATCATGGTTGGATCTAAGTGATAACCAGCTTCATGGATCCATTCCCGTCTCTAATAGAACAGCACCCCTTGGTCTTGACAAGCTAGTGAAAGCAAGACACTTGTATGTACTATTTCCAACATATCATATTTGTGAGTTTTTTAATTTTTAAAATGATTTTTCTCATCTGAGCTATACTTTGGCCATTATGCAGTCATTTTGCAAATAATAATTTGTCTGGTCCCATTCCACCTGAACTTTTCAGCTCAAACATGAAGCTAATACATGTGTAAGTATTGCATTTAGCTGAGAAAAAGATCTGCAGTTTTACTTGGTTGACATGGAAATATAACTATAAAATTAATTTGATGCACATGTTCATGCGTTATAAAAGCTATATCATGTTCAGTAAAACAGAAATCATGGACGAACGCGCATTATATTGGTTCTGTACAACATCTTACATCCATCTCCTTGTGGGAATTCATGGAAAAACCAATTAACTTCTTCGATGTTCAGCCTTTTAATGCCGTTTCACATGTGCAACTTTATAATATTATTCACAAACCTATTCGTATTTCTAACTTCAATGGTATAGCAGCATATACTTGTTGGCTGTGCTTGAGGCTCATATGCTCGTGAAACATGAGCCTGGTATGACCTTTCAAGAAACTATGTTAGTTATATTACAAAAGTAAATAGATAAAAGGAGTAGATTCACTGCTTATAATTTGAGAGAATATATATGTTTTCGAGCTGGTCATGCCACTGCTTTTCTGCCAAATTTGGTACACCCAATTAGGAATGGACTGAGTTGGCCCAACACAATAGGTGTATTCTTTTATTTTATTTTTACGTCTACTCACATGCTAAACTGGTATTGTTATCATTCTTGTACGCTCCTACTGTAACACTGAAAGCATATACATTTTTGAACAGTATAATGAACAACAACGAATTATCTGGAACAATCCCTTCCTCGATAGGACTTGTGGTGACTCTTGAGGCTGTGTGAGTATAAATGATTGATAATCCTTCGAACATTATGGAAATGGCATCTGAGCTGAATATTTGAAACTTATTTACTCTTGTGTCTCTCTTTGCCTTCTTTATTTCGCAGACGCTTAGACTCAAATTCCTTGAGCGGGATAGTGCCTCGGAATCTAACGAACCTCAGAAGTGTCGGTGAGCTGTAAGTGATAGGAGAAGCCAACCAAAGTTTTCCATTTCTTTTTTATGAAATTATGTTTTGGTTGGTTTATTTGGTGGTTCATATTAATTGTCAGATTTGGTCATTTTCAGGTACTTGTCAAACAATAAACTGAATGGATCTGTTCCAAACCTGACAGGAATGAATTCTCTCTTTTATGTGTAAGTTGGTTTAAACTTAATGGATGCTGTACAGCATTTACAAGAAGAAGCGATGAGTTAAATGCAATGCTGATATGAATTTCGCTGAACTTCCTCTTCATATATTGATCATCTTCTTCTATCCTGTTGTCAAAGTTTTTCATTTTCTATTTTCTATTTTCTATTTTCTATTTTCTAATATCACATGTCTTATCATGATGCCAATTCCAGGGACATGAGCAATAATAGGTTCGATTTGTCTGATATCCCTACATGGTTCACACTTCCATCATTGACGACACTGTAATCTTTCTTTTCATCTTTTTATGTCAGCCACTGCACAAACTCCCTTCTACTAGCTGATTCCCAGAAATAAATATTTTTTGTGGATTCTTTTCTAATAACATGAGTGACCACTTCCTGCTGGATTGAATTACGCTGGAGTTGTCGAAAACCCGAAAAAGTACATATAGCCTTTTCATTTTGAAGCCTTAAAAACATGAACATAATTCTGGTATATATTAGCACTCGAAATGGCAGCTAGGATTTAGGTTCTCTTTTTTTTTCTCATGGAGATGAGAATCTTGTTTCTTTCTTATTTTTGATCAATCAATATTTTTTCAAAAACCACCAACTGCCTGTCATTTCCCTAAATTCTTGTCAGACTCCATGTGTGTGTTTGTTTTGGAAATCTGGAGGAATTTATGTTCAAGCATTGCTTAATCTTTTACTGACAGATTGATGGACAAGACGCAACTCCAAGGAGAAATCCCATCAAATGTCTTCCAACGTCAGTTGGAGAGATTGTGAGTAATTAAACCAAATATGCGGTTGTGATAATTTAGTATCTAATACAATGGAATATGCCATTTGGTTTGTCTCTCTAGAACCAAATATCTCTAATTTCAAAATGTGGCATTTCAATTATTTTCTTTTCTTCTCTTCTTTTGGTTTTCTGTTGACAGGGTGCTAAGCAACAATGCACTTAATGGAACCCTGGATGTTGGCAACAGCTATAGCAGCGACTTAATTGTTGATTTGACGAACAATTCCATTGCTAACTTCACGCAAAATTCTGTATATAATATGAGCTTAAAGTGAGCTCATATGTCTCCTTTTATCCTTATACTTGGTTTCTAATTTCTATCCATTTAATCTAATGCTTATCCTATAGATAAGAATTTCATGCAAACCAGATTTTGTGTTTCTCAATCTTATGGAACTATTTTCCATTACTTTGCAGTCTTGTAAATAATCCAGTTTGTGAGGAAGGAAGGCCAAAGGGAAGATATTGTGGGGCTGGAAAACCCAATATACCAAATGGCTATCCATCAAATAGCTGTACTCCTGTGCGCTGCAGTTCAAATAAATTGCTTAGTCCAAATTGTAATTGCTCACATCCATATACCGGAACCATACATTTTTTCTCTCATTCCTTCTCAGACTTGGATAACACCACCTACTATACAATTCTCCATGATGTTTTGATATCTGCCTTTCGGTCCAATCAACTTCCTGTGGACTCGATTTCTATCTCCAATGCAATTGTCGATGAATTTTCATACCTTCAATATAGATTGAACATCTTTCCCTCTGATCAAGATTACTTTACTCGTTCAGAAGTCTCTTCAATTGGGACTGTGCTCAACCGCCAAACTTTTATTCTCCCACTTTTTGGACCCTTATTCTTTCTTGATGAAAACTATTGTTGCTTTCCAGGTAATTATTCATTATATGTATATATATATACTAAAGAAATTTCTATTTTGTTGCTAAACTTTGAAAGATATATAATACACTTTCTTAACAAGCCATTTGTACTTTTCCTCGTTCTCTAATACAATGCACTACAAGGCAATATCTTTTTTGATTTTGAATGTCTACAGGAGAAAAGAAGTCATCAAATACTGGCATCATCATTGGAGCAACAGTTGGTGGTTTTCTTCTCCTATTGCTTTTAGTCATGGCTGTAATTTATGCTATTTATCAGAAACGACTAGCAACAAGAGCGAAACAGAACAGTCCTTTTGGTAAAGAACAGTTGGAGAATAAGACATGAAATTCTCATCTTTTTACAAGAAGTTCATGTGCTTACATACATATATTATGATAATGCAGCATCTTGGGGGTTGGATAATGGAAGTGATGTTGGTGGTGTTCCTCAACTGAAAGGAGCAAGATGGTGTTCGTTTGAAGAACTCAAAAAAAGCACCGACAATTTTTCCGAAGGAAACATAATTGGATCTGGGGGCTATGGGAAGGTATCTTTATGTTATATTTCTTCCGGTTAATATTTGAATCACTAGTACTGCAGTTTTACAAGCTAAAATAATTTAGCATTCTGTTAGAAGTGTCTCATTGCAGATACTGTATTCAAACCTGTATTGGCTGTAGTGAGACTACTCACCTTCCTTGTACATAATGCACAGAATTATGCTAAAAGTGGGAAGTTAGGAAGCTTCAATGTACTTGGGTTATTAGAGCATCCAATTGGTCATAATTTCGTAATCAGTATCCCCCCTCCCCTGGTGTTGAACAATGCGTCCCCATAAAAATCCTAGAAAAAAAAACTAGAAGGTTAGTTTGTAAAAGTGATTTCAGTAGAAGGTCATGTTAGAAAAGAGCCTTTTTTGGGTTATTTAGTTAAATGACTTTAAACAAGTATCCAAATAGGATCATGACCTTTTAAAATATATTTTTAATTCAATTACCTTCAAATGACTTGCATGGTGGTTAAGTCTGTTGCATCTACTGTTAAACAGCATGTGCCCCCGTAAAATATTGTAGAAACAGTAGAAGGTTAGTTTCTAGAAGTGACTTTGATCGGCGGTCATTTGCCTAGTTTTATAATGAAAATCTTGTTCTTCAGTATTTAAGCATTGTCATTTCTCTGTTGTAATACAACGTTATGCCAATATGCAAGCTTCTTTACTATTATGAATTTATTGCTTGGTAACGGATTGATGCCTAAAACGGGTAAGATGCTGACTGACAGGTGTATAAAGGGACTCTTAACACTGGCCATGTAGTCGCGATCAAAAGAGCTCAACAGGGGTCATTGCAGGGTGCTCACGAATTTAAAACTGAAATTGAGCTTCTTTCACGGATCCATCATAAGAACGTGGTAGCCCTTGTGGGTTTCTGTTACGACCAAGGTGAACAAATGCTGGTCTATGAGTACATTTCAAATGGTACTCTAAAGGATAATCTTTCAGGTAAAATTACTTATTTCTTGGCTTTTCCTTTCGCACCAAGGGCTGATGTTACTGAAAATGAAAGGCCTTTGTATCTGTTAAAAGAAATGCAAAAAGTATAAACGAAACAGTGATGCTAAATTTGGCAAGAGTAATATAAGGATCTGTTACCTTTATCGAGAACTTACATGATGCCAAGATGAACACTCTCTGAACTTCAACAGAAACATTCTCTGAACTCTAATTAACTATTTGCTCATGGTAACCTGCCAATCTATTGTCTAGCTACTCCATTGCTAACACTTACTCAAAGCAAGTCAGTTTGTAGTGTCTAAATAACTTAGTAAACTGAAGAGGGTATGTGTAGCATGGTGGTGGTCAGATTGAAAGATTAGACAACAGAACACTTGTCTTCATTTCTTACATGTCGGGGGTTTTCACGGACACAACCACTCTACTCCCTAGGGTAGGATATACCGGGCTTGTTTGGTTTGAATCAGAAGAACTTGTCATTTTTCTTGTTGGAAACTTTCATCTTTCAGCTTAGCTTCTTAAATTATTGAAATTGTACATGCAGGGAAGTCAAGAATCAGGTTGAATTGGATGAAGAGGCTTAGGCTAGCTCTTGATTCTGCCAAAGGTCTAACATACTTGCATGAGCTTGCCAACCCTCCCATCATACACAGGGACATCAAATCAACTAACATTCTGCTGGATGATCATTTGAATGCCAAGGTTGCTGATTTTGGATTGTCCAAACTGTTGGGAGATGAATCAAAGGGTTATGTCTCTACGCAAGTGAAGGGCACATTGGTAAGTGTTTGGTCCTCCAACCCTCAATTGTCACTTGTTAAAGTCCAACCGGAGATTTCAACATTAACCATATTATTAAAATATTTAATATGCCAACAAAATGTCATATACATTTTATATAGAATAATAATACAATCAAATTCATTGGTGGAAACAATAAAAAAACATTTCTCTCACTTGAGCAATCATTTTTGGGAAGTTCTTCAAATTTGGAGAATTTTGTCCTCTCTCTCATAGTTTCTCCATTTTGAAAAGAGTTAGAGAATCTGTTGGAGCAAAAAAAGTAGGTTAAAATCTCCAAACTTTTCATTTTCTCCATTATGGATAATCTGTTAGAGATGCTCTAAACGTTTTGGACTACTAATATATACTAAAAATGTTTGAAAAAATTTAGGCCCTATTTCTTTGGGCCCTAAGCAAGCGCCCGTCCTGTCCTTCCCCACGAAAGTCCCCAAGTTTATTTAGCTGTTACATTTAGGACCTCATGTGATTAGTCAAGGTGCATGGAAGCTGGTCCAAAGCATAAATGTGAACTGTACACTATGTTTCTATCCTGATTAAAAAGTTGATCCTTTCTGAATGCAGGGTTACATGGATCCTGAATACTACATGACCCAACAATTGACAGAAAAGAGTGATGTATATAGTTTCGGAGTTGTATTGTTGGAGGTATTAACTGCAAGATCACCAATACAAAAAGGTAAATATATCGTGAGAGAGGTTAAAGAGGCGATCAACAGATCAGGAGATCCAAGTGGACTTTCCGAGATTCTCGATCCATCTCTTGGATCATCCCAAACACTTGGAGGTTTGACCAAGTTTGTGAATCTTGCAATGAGTTGTGTGCAAGATGCAGGAGTTGACAGGCCCAAAATGGGAGAAGTGGTGAGAGAGATCGAAAGCATTATAGATTTGGCTGCTTTGAGCCTTGATCCTGACTCATCATCTACTTTCTCAACTCAAAATACAGGAAATGTTGTGGACCTTTATCATCCTTATGGTGATTCCATCTCTGATGAAAGCAGTTTATATGTACCATTTGAAACGGATTTGCGCAGGTAATGCTACTTTCTAAAGGATCGATGCTCCCTAGTTGACTCATTCTGGGAGTAGTCGACCGCTGATATGTATATCACAAATGGCTGGAACCAAGATTGTTAAAATGAAAATTTAGAAAGATGCAAGTTATATGAACTTTATGGTATGTTGTTTATTATAATATTTGTACTACAAGCTATTACTTTATATAACCTCCTTTTATATTGAGCTAGCCATTTCTAAGGGTTGTTTACTTCTTTTTCCGGTAAGTCCTTCATGGGTTAAGTGTTTGTCTGGATGAATCTATCTACCTAATGAACGGAAGACCAATGGGTTTGAGGGAAGTAAAGAGAGAAGATTGGATTATTTTTGGGGCATTTCTTGTATTAATTTGTTTGAGGTGGCTTAATAAGGACAAATGAGGGGTCCTGGATTATTTCATATAACCATTTTTGCTTAATGGCTTAACGATTAAGCTGCAAAGAAAAACGTCTGTATGGCTAAGTGAAAAGCCTGTCCTATAGTTGCAAAAAAGTTGCTATATAGGAATTGCATAAAGAGTGGCAAAAGTAGGGGCAGACCTATGTACAGTGGCCTGTGCCATTGTTATGATCCTAGAGATCTAAAGATTTAATCAATTAACATAGAATCAATATAATTTCAAAGATATAAACACTCGAGAGCACACAATTGAAGCAGGAAGTCATCTGTCATTTACTGATTCAAGGTAGTTACAAGCTTTGAGAGGGAATATTCTAGAGAGAAAGTTTACGATGAATAATGCTCAAATGATTACAAAAGACACAGACTCTCTAGAATCTATGAACATTATATACTACAAGTTCAGAAGACATTACATTTACATGACGGTTACAATACAGAGAAGTAATATGCTAACACGTGTTCTAATATCCTCGGGTCTTTTGAACTTGGATCTTCTCCAAGGCTTGTAGAGTGCAGAGTTGAGTCAGTTGACTGGATAAAATCTTCTTTGGATTTCCTTTAAGTACCCAATCTGATTATGCTCACTCAGACTTGGTCTTTCGAACTCTGACTCTAAGGGCTTAGATCTCTGACCCTTCACAATCTTAACTCTGAGTCTTCAAGACTTGGTTTCTTTCTCGGATAACCTCCAACTCTAGCTATATAACTCAGATCTCTAAGTTTTCTTGAGAACAACTCTGACTCTTCATAGTTAGAGTTTACACTTGTAGTTTCTTGGGTATTCTACAAGTTTGAACCAAATAGTTAGATCTCTTACTATACTTCATACTTAGGGGTTGTTTGTTTGGCTCTTAATGGTGACATTAAGAGGAAACTCTTAATCGTTAAAAGGCATGGACTGTTTGGCAAAAAAAAATGAGCTTCTTAATGGTTACAAAACCTCTTAATGATTTTGTGTTAATCAAATGGATTGAACCTCTTGATTACCATCTGGGCATTTCACTGCCACTTGAACACAGCCATAGGCTTGCTTCAATTGTCAGTGCCACTTGAACCTCTTCAATTGTCAATGCCACTTGAACACAACCATAGGCATTTCACTGCCACTTGCACTTCCCTACCGAAGTCGATTAATTCCAAAGAACACAATCTCAAAACACTAGCAAAACTGTGATTCCAAAGAACACAAGCTCTAAATTGGTTTATAATATTATTTGGGGCAACTACATGTTGACAGTCAATTCTTTGATTTCTTCCAACAAAGTGAAGAAAACTATTTATTGCTTATCTAGTTGGTAAACTGTTTATTGCTTATCTAATTGGAAATTGTTTATTGCTTATCTAATTGGAAACTGTTTATTGCTTATTAGTTTATGACTTGGTAGAAGGCTTATGGTTGGTAAATTTTATGTGCAACATCTTTTTTATTGTTTGTCTATTCGTTTGCTAAACTTTATGTTCTTTATACTTTATAAAATTGTTTGGACTAGGTATGCAATTAGTTGGTGAATCTTCGCACCAAAAGAAACGTAGGATTACATGGAAAAAGGAAGGGTTGGTCCAAACATTTCTTGAAGCTTGTATACACGAGACAATTGAAAATGGACGAGAAGGTAGTAGTCTTAAGTCAGAATCGTGGAAGAATGTTGGAGAAGAATTGAAAAGAAAACATAACATTATCGTCGACCAACGACAAATGAAAAAATCACTACGATTATTTTAAAGGAAAATACGCAGTTTGGTCTAAACTGAAAAACAAAACGGACAATATCTACGATCCATCAACCAACACCTTCAATCTATCCGATGAAGAATGGAAGATAGAAATTTCGGTCACTTTCTTTCTTATTTTCTACATAGTTATATTTTTAAAATATATTTATTTATATGGATATAATATTTTTAAAACACCAAAGTAAATACATGGAACCATTGAGGAGTACCAGACTGCTTTATCCTGAACTCTGTGTGCAATTATTTGATGAGGTTGCTAGTGTTGGGATTGAGAGTTATGAAAAACATCTACAATTCCTGATCCTTATGACTCTGATCCCAACTTGAATGAAGATCTACCTGACACACAAGAAACCGGGGGCCACCCTCAACTCAAGAAACCGGAAGGTCAACCTCAACTCAAGAGTGTTCTTCATGCCCTCCGGTACAAAGCAAAAAGCGGAAAGCTAAAGAAACATGTGCTTCAAAAAAAGTGGAAGTTGAAGAAACTATTTTTGAAGGTTATGAATGTTATGCTAGAGAAGCATGGAGCACCAAAATATGATATTGATGATTGCTTGAAGAAGCTAGAGGGACCTGGATGGGGTGCACCGTTGCATGACGTAGCACTATTTGTTTTAGCTAAAAGCGCCGACTATAGAAAAATGTGAATGCGTTTAAAACCGGTGAATTGCGAGAATTGGATTAGACTTACGGCACGCAAGTATGGACTACTTTAGTTGGTAGGTTTGATTACACTTTGTTTTTGGGAGGATACGTGTTTCGATTAAACTTCGTGTTATTGATTTGAACATATCTTTTGGATTTATGTTTATTTTTGGATTGGAACATGTTTTTTTATGATCATTTAAAATGATATGCTTATGTGGTTTTCTTGTTTAATATATGTGTTTCTCATGTGTTTGCAATATATGTTATTTTCAAGGTAATACATGGATTTTGAGGAAGAATTTTTGCTAGTTATGATCATCTATTGGTATTGGAAATACAAACTTTCATAAAAAATAGAACGAATAAGAGATAACACTTCTGCCTTAACTGGACATGCATATACACTAGAATTGTTAGGCGGATCGAATACACAATGCGTTGAATTGACGCGGCTTTCTCGGGATACATATATACTATTATGCAACCATTTTAAACAAAAACATTGGTTGCAAGATAGTAGGAATGTTACCGTTGAGGAGAAGATGACTATATTTTTTACAATTATTGGCCATAACGAACGCTTTAGAATGGTTAAACGGAGATTTCAGCACTCTACGGAGACTATTCATAGAAACTTCCGCAAAGTGTTACGAGCAATGATGAAATTTGCAAATGAAGTTATATGTCCGACATCCTATGAGGAAACGCAAAACACATCAGAACGTCAAATGAACCTCAGGGGAATATTTCCAATTGTAAAGCAAATGGCTCCCTATCGAGCATGCCTATTGTGACATCTGACAAAATAAATTTAGATCTGTTCTAGACTTAAGCATCTCACATTGGCAAGTATAGGCGTGTCACATTTTGAATTTAGAAACTAGAAGCTAAGTCATGATTCCACTAGAAAATTTTAGAAATTTTGCTTATTTTGCGCTTAGGAGAGTGAATTGCTTAATTAGTCCAAAAAATACCAATTCAAATAACATTTCTCATTTTTATATATATGTTTGGTATAAAAAAAAAGAGGTCTTAGAAACTAGATTAATTATCTATCTATAATTTTTTAAATTGAATTTCAAAAAAATAAAAAATAAATAAAACACCTACTTTTTAAACTTATAATAAAATCTCATCATTTTTCTCTTTTCCCAAAAACCAACTCTTTTTCCTCCCTCCCCTTCCCCTTCCCCTTTTGGCCATCCAATTTATCTTTCCAATTTAAACCCCCTAACATCCTCTTATTTTCTCATTCCAAGCCAAGAGTTGGAAACCTCCCCCCCTCTCTCTAGAGCTCTCCCAAATCCCTCTCCATATCCTCTCTATTCTCCTTCAACATTGAGCCCCAAAGTCATCATTTCAAAGAGTTAGAAGTATTTTTTTTAAAGGTAAGCATCCATCTCATAGAGTTTTAAAACTCATTTAGCTTAGTGGTAGCTTTCATTTTACATATTTTGTAGTTCTCCTTATATATATATAGGGGTTGGTTCAAATACTAACCAAGATTTTTGTGTTAACTTTGTTAACCAAGCTCAACCAATCATATTCCATCTTTTCTTTAGGTTCACATATAACTCATATATTAATGACAATGGTAATTAAGTAATTTATCATTTATGTAACTCCCAAATCATTAATTGGGAGTTACAAATCTAAAAATCTCAATAATTGATGATTATGTAATACTGATATTTTTTTATACGTGTTCATGTTTTGTAATTTCGATTTATTCTACCATAATGATATTGATTTTGTAATTGTTAAAGAATTTCCGATTGTAAAGATTTCGATATCGTCCAAATAATATGGATAAACTTATTGGAAAACAGATCGACAACAATGAGAATGAAAATGTTAAAATCGTCTACGACTACAATCGGAATTCGAATTCATATGTAATTGTTAAAGAATTGTTCACAAGTGTTCATATTATGTTCATATGTACACTAGCTGCATATCTCAACATTGGCTTACTCCTGAATGTGTTCATAATAAATGAACTATTGTTCACAAACTATTCATATTGTGTTTATATGTACACTAGCTGACATATCTCAACATTGGCTTGCTTCTGAATGTGTTCATATTGAAGGAACTACTGTTTACAAACTGTTCATATTGTGTTCATACCTGTTTTTTATTTATTTACTTTCGTGTAACAACTATTCTTATTATATTCATATTGTGTTCATAAATGATATACAGTCTAAGTTCATATATATGTCAATTTTTGTTCGTATTTGACACAATGATTTATATATATATATATATGTGTGTGTGTGTGTGTGTTCATATGGTTCTTACTTTAACAAAAATAAATTAATAAAAATAATGAGATTTTTTGATTTTGTAACTCCCAATTAATGATATGGGAGTTACATAAAAAAGAAAATTACCTAAATACCC